GATTTAAACAGTAAACAGTCTCCTAATGGTAGGACAACAGGCTAGCCTCGTCTCTAAGTCATTTAGGCAACAGGAGTGTGGTGACCGTACCAAGCCCATCTCCGTGTCGAACTGTTGTGTTGGCTGAGGGTGGGACTTGCTTGATAAACTAGGAGGCACAACTCGTCTAGAAAATCTGGTGTTATCCTTACCTGTTTCCACACTATGACGAATACATATGGAGCCATGCAAAACCTGAAGGGGAGCACCCTGTGCTTGACTACTTGGCCCAAATGGGCAATTCAAGGGAGTCGCTGACTCACTGAGTGCATCAGTAAGTGTGGGTAAGTATAGCTCAAATCCAGCGCCGCTAATCAGTAGAAACAGAGCATGGAGAATAATATGGTGCTCGGCATTTCCAGGAAGCTCATACTGGGCACAGCCAACTGAGTCTCAGTTGTAGTCTTTGGAACCACTGATACTTGCGGGTAGAAGCCCGGACTTAACGTCGGGTCCCCTATCCTGTGTATAGCGCCCTTCGTAAACAAACTATCTACCTCCTGTCGGATTGCTCCAACTTTTTGGGGGTCTCCTGGTAGTTCCCCGAATGGGCTCTGGTGCCAAGGGGTGGAGATTGCAGCTGAATCTTGTAACCGTGAATCGCCACCTAGAGAATCCAGGGATTGGTTACGCTGTCTCTGAACCAGAATACACCGGCGCAATCAGTGTGACAGAAATGTGTGGGTTTGGCAGTTCCATATTAGGTGATCTCTCCTCTGCCGAGGTGAGACCCTGCAATGCCTGTAGAACTTGATAGGTTCCAACTCCAACCAAACATATACCCATTCCCCTTGTTGCAAGCGAAAGCATCAAATCTGCTTCCCCTGCGAGCTGGGTAGGCGACCCTGAGGAATGGGGGGACTACCTGGTCTCTTCTTCGTGGGGTCGCCATTTTCCCCTCCCCCAAAAGAGCCAGAACGCTTGCCTCCTGGCTACATATGGCCAGTGGGTGCACCCTTTGGTTGTTACGTTTTCTGAGCTTGGGATCCTTACCGCTTGTCCTTGGCAGAAGCCAAACTGATTCGCGAGTCTCACGTGTACCAGTGGGATCTTGAAGCATCGAACCTCCTTCCATCCTCAAAAAAGAAAAGGTGGGGGAGGTTCAGCCTGCGTAACTGAGACGGTGGTGCGCCCAGTGAAAACAGCCAAAACCTCATCCCACTGTACAGAGGCAGCCCCTGCCACGAGAGCCGGTGACACTGCAGTATATCCTGCTTAGCCATGTGGTTTCCCAGCAATGGCTGTGTCTGTTGGTCTAGGAGGCTGGTGCATTCCGCCATTGAGACTTCAGAGAGCTGGCGGCACTAAACAATTAGTTCCAGTGGGCTGGCCGCAACTCGAAGGTTGAGGGTCACCACTCTGCTCTCAGGGCGTGGATTGTTTTATGACTAACTGGTCACAATATTCCATAAACACGGCCACCCCCTTGCCTGTCCCACAGAACCAAAAAAAAATCATGGCACCGGGGTCGAGGGAGGAACGGAAGGATCCGATCGGGCGCGAGATTTTACTCTAGACTCTGTTGGCTTCGGTCTCAAACACTGCTCGAAGGGGCAGGGCTTGGTCCAGCGGAAAAGGTTGAGCATAACATTTACCTACCCGAAGGACTTAGACCTCTATCCCGTGGGGACCAAGGTCCGCCCATCAACACCGTCTGTGCATTCCATCCTACATCCAGCACTCGGCGGGATCAAAAGCAATACCGAATGCAGGACTACCAGAAGTGACAGTCCTACCGAGAGTGACTATTTCAGGATCGGGGGTGAACATCGGGTCACTAGTATGTTTTGCTCACGGAGTCATTTCTAGGAACAGACTCTGAGGGGCCACCCAAGGTTGCACATATAATGATACTATTTTGACGGCAATATTGGATTTATGCAAATGGATTGGTATTCAATCAAATGTTTCACAATCACATCATTCACACACACACACACCAAACCATATCAGAGCAACTTGAATATCTAACAAATGTCATCTAGAATTAAAGATATGTTCTAATAATTATATTTTCCATGTTGTAAAAATGCACCAAACGGCCATTTTGAATATATGCAAATTAGGTATATTTCGGAAGCATATATTTTCCTAGACTCTTATTATGTCAATCTGGGCACCTCCCCGGAATGTATTGTGAAGAAATAATCTCTGTTGCACTTTGTGATGGGTCAAACCATAAATTGACTGTACTATATTCACTTGGGGTAAAATTAAATACATGATTACATGTTTTGTTACTAGTATATTGACAATAAAATGCTCTGTGTGAAGTCCCAATAAATGATTAATGACTTTGATTGAAACAACTGACCTGTAGTAGTAGCTTCATCAATATGTGAAATAGGTAATTTTGTTGATACTTCAGAGACTTCAGTTTTAAAATCTGGAAATGAATAAACAGATAAGGCAGACTTTCAGAGGTTAATCACCAATAATGAAGCTAGAACAAAAGGATTTTAACTCTCATTTTATAGTCTTGATACTGGATTATAGTAGCACTCAAACACACAACCATACGCATGCAGGTTTTGGCAATTTATTTTATTTTATTAAAAATTGGTAGATTTTGTTTTATTTGTCAGATTGTAGTGTGGCATATATGTCAAAAATGACAGACTACTTTTATATGACATTACCTGTTACTATAGCCTCTTCTAATAATGCAGTCGTTGGCTGAGAGGATGCTTTAACAGTGCTGGAATGTATTGCTTCAGCTGTGAAATCGTAGAAAATAGTTAAATTCAATAATAAAAAAAATATATATATGACTTTTTAAACTTTTGTTGCTCCTGTGGGGCTATTGATAAATATATATTTTCTTCTAAATTATCTGCTTATATAATATTACATCTTCTAGTTGGTGAGAGAGTTATATACGTAGTAATTACAGGCATTCACGTAACACACAAAACAAAGCGTAGAGCATCGCCACTGAAGGCATAACACTGTACATCCAGTCATACTAACT